CTGGGAGGGAAAACTTCAAAAAGTGATTTTCTGGTGAGCCCAAAGTCGCACAAATATTATTTATAGCTGGTTTAGGCAAAATCGACAAAATCGAGTCAATAATCCCAACCTGATAGCAAGGCTAAATTTGCAAAACTCGCGTTCACGTCGAACGTGAGTTGACCTCAGCTCACGTCATGAACGGGAGTTTCGACGCCAAAATTTGCCACACCGACGTGAAATTTCACGGTGTAGTGCAGAACAACGTGAAACGAAAATAAGATAATACCAACGCGTGGTAGCCGCGTGCTGTGCACGTGCACGCCAGACATTGTGTTGCAGCATGCAGTGCAGTCCGTTTTCGGATGTGCATGCGCGAGGAACTTCCTTCTTTGGAACTGCTTCTTGCATGAGCTGTTTCGGATATTTCGTCTCCTGGCCTGGCTTATTTCGTTTGGGCGCTGCTGAGACCTCCTTTCGCGGAATACTAAGTTACTCAATGACAGGTGAGTTGACCAGTTCCCTTTGATTCATTTGCTTGTGTTGACTCTTTAATTTACGAAAGTGTGCTGATTTTGGGTGGAATGCAATAAATATGGAAAAGCTGACAGGATCTCTTTGCTAAATTTAGCTTTTCCACTGCCGAGGCCTGCTTTTACGGAATACTCGATGACAGGTGATCTCTGAGTTGACCGGTTCCTTCGATTCATTTGCTTATGCTCACCCTTTCATTTACGGAAACGTGTGCTGATTTTATTCGGATTTAGATCCAGTCGTATCTCTTTGCCCTTGCCCACATGCACAGTGTGCGAAGAAGGCGAGTTCACCTTCTTGACGATAAGGCTTATGTTGCTGCTGAGGCTTAGATGTGTTGTCGAAATTCTCATGTCATTGTACATTGGTACGTTACAAGTAAGGCACTGGTATTGCTTCCGCCACTCCGTGCCCCGATCGTAGGGCAGAATCGGAATTTTGCAGTGGCATAATAATTACCGTTGGCAGTTCCCAATCTGGAGGGAAAGGTTCAAGGACGCATTGACCGAGTATGCAGAATATATTCGCAAACATGTATCAGGGGAAATCTCCATTATGGAGAGGTTCAGTGACTTGTTTGCTTCATACGAAATAAGCCAATGCGTGCAGTCTCGTCTCGTGAAAATCTCGTACGATTGGATTTGTTTACTCGAGTCTGGGCTGTTTGATTTGTGAGTAGCGCCGAGATTGCACTGCTCCAAACAAGGCTGTGTTTACATGAGACGTTTCAACCTGGGTTGAGTTCGACCCGGGTCAGATTTCAACCCGCCATGTACACAAAATGAATGGCGCGTTTACATGAAGCATTGCGCTTGACCCAGGTTGATTTCAACCCTCCCCTTAATAGGCCTTTCACACGACGGGACAAAGTCACGTCTGTTCGGGCTCGCGGGCGGATCACCAAGGCGATCATCAAATGGCGGGACATCTGAATCCGTAGACCCGCACGGTCTGCCCGCGACATCCTGACCCCCTGGCTGTGCGTTTTCGTTTTCGATTTCGTGTTTCCTGTACTGGTTTGGCTTGTGTTCGCGATCGCGTCTTCTCACTGAGCGTTTCCTGAACAGCAGCACAGGTCCGACTTTCTGACCAATGGCCACCCGGACATTCAGCCCAGAATCCGAAAGGATGCTTATCGAAATCTACTGCTCCCTACTTGAATCGACTGATAAAATGATGATGACGCGAGCAGCGAAAGAAGACAAAGCAACAAAACGGCTGAACGGCCAAAAGGATTTGGGAAATCGAACGAGGCACTCCAAACCCTGTAGGTTGTGAGCCGATTGCCCTGTCCGGACCCAGTTGCAAAGGCCACGGAAAACCCAACAGCAAAAATAGAGCAAAGCTACGCGGCTTTGTCAAATCCTTGGTCCCAGAAATCCAGTCAAGAACGCCAGAGCAACAAAGTCGTCTTTTCAGTCTTGTTCTACTCCAACATCAGGCAAAGAGAGTTTGAATTTTTCCCGGGAGGCATGAAAATAAAAAAAATATTTTGATTTATTTCCATCAAAACACGTGCCTCCATTACAATTACCTAGGCAACAGTCAAATCGTGACCGACTCGCGTGCGCCGTGTCGGCAGAGCTAGTCGTCGTGTGAAGTGTCTTGCCGTGGATCGTAGAACCATGGTATCGTGAAATCGTGAGCACGAACCGTCATGTGACAAGGCTATAAGGGGAGGGTTGAAAAACGTACAAACATGCTTCTGTGCGTATCTCGCGCCAGGTTTGAACAGCACTGCACATGCAAATTTCGCGCGAACAGATTCACATGACTACAGGTAGACTCCCTTTAATTCGAACCTCAAATTGCCAGGCCCTAACTTCTAATTATCCGGAATTTCTAATTATCCAAATGCAGCCCCATGCACTGATATGTATGTCAAAATGCTTGAAATCGCATGCTGAATATTTTTTGCCCATTATTTTTTATTTGCATCAACGAAACATAGGTGGTCGTACCCGTCATGTACAACGGATACGCGTAACAGCAGTGGGATCATCAAAACACTGGATCGACACAAAATCATTTGACATTATTATCTTCATCTTCTACTTCTAGTGAAGAAGTTGTCAGTCACTGCAGCTTTCCTGCAACAATTTCAACGGAAAAGAACTGCGCTGCCTAATCCGCGTCATGAAAGGCCGTCGAACAGCAGCACGTCGTTCCGAAGAACAGAAGTGAAGCATAGGCATAGACAATTTTAAGACAATAGTGTTATTGTGCGCCAACATCTCCGCGCACGAGCTGGCGTGGCAAGAAAGGCCATCGAGATCCGCGAAGAGAGTCAGCCACCTGGAAGAAGTCGTCTTCAATCAAACCTTTGCAATTTGCCTCGCACGGGCTTGAACCAAATGTCGAGAGAAGGTGGGTTTCTTGAACGCTATAGTCGATCCTGCAGCGGACCATCGATCGATTATATTTCAGAATGCTCTGTCTCCGTATCAACGTGTTTGGCCTAATTCTCTAACTTGACAGCTAGTTTGTAGTGTATTTTACATGTTTTATGTGAATTTTTGTGTTTTATTTTGTGCTCATGCCCTTTGGCATCTTGGAAAGCGCACATTTTTTGTTGTCGAAACTGTCCGTTCCACACTTGCTCTTCGGCCCTTTTTCTAGCTTGCCTTGAGTGACGGCTGCGTTTTTGTACGTCTTGTACCTTTTCAGTTTTTGAAACATTTCTTAGTCTTTGTACCTCTTCTAGTTATGGATACTGGTATGGAGACGTCGTCTACACCGTCCAGCGAGATGGTTGGAATCCTGGAAAATATCCAAGCCAGCATGCAACGCATTGCTGATCGTGTAACGGGAATCGAGGATAGTCAAAGACAAAATCCTTCGACTGTCTCATTCCTCGGCACGTCCACACCATACAAGGAGCAAAGCTCCAAGTCATGGCCAGATGATACCAGTGTGATGGAGGAAATGGAGAAAGAGACAGAAGAGTTGAACTCCAACGGGGTCAAACTTTTTCCTGTGTCTGATTCAACCATGGGTTTGTTGAAGTCGAGTTTTTGTTCCGCCTTGCTGAATCCGAGCAGGTGACAAATTCGTGACAAGTTTGGTGCCCCAAACTGTCCACACTCGGCTTGTCCTGGACTTGACAAAGTCATGAACTCTGCTTGCGAGATATTGGAGGCTGTACAGTCAGCAGTCAAACTCCTCGGGAATTTTTCGGCCTGTAATCGGGAACGCCGTCAAATTGCCCTCTCTAGTCTGAACCCCCGCATTGCGGATATGGCTGAGGACGATTCCATTTTCACCGAAGTCCGTCAAAATTTGTTTGGCGAAGGCTTTTATAAGAAGGCGAAGGAGCATGATGACGAGATGCGGGTGCTGAACAGCGTTGCAGCCAGCAAGACCCATACCCAGTCAGCTCCTGCCAAGAAACCGAGCGGTTTCAAGAGCCACCAGCCGGTTTTTCACCGGAACTCCCGCAATTTCCGTGGGGGATTCAAGGGACGACGGCGGTACCAGCCTTACGCCGGCAATTCGAGCTTCAGCCACGGCAGCAGCAAGAATTCCTCGGACTCTGCCAAGTGACATCCAGCTCCAACAAGTCCAAGTCCAGCACACGAGCATCAGCAGGACCAGAAGTGCCTCCTCATGAATCATTTGAAAGAAATAAAATTTCTTCCAAATATGTCTCAATCTCCGCTTATGGTGTGCCTGAAGGACTTGGGTTTTGTGGACATGGCTCAAAGCATAGCCATACAGAGTCCTCCCCCTGCAGGGAAGATACAACTTTTCATTCAAAATTGGAAAGTTCTCACATCCGACCGTTGGGTACAGGATTGTGTGCAAGGGTATGCAATAGATTGGATTGCTCAACCCCATCAAGAGAAACCGCCCCACGAAATAGTCTTTTCCGGGGAAGAGATGAACTGTCTTTCACTAGAAGTGCAGAAGATGGTAGAGAAACATGCTGTTACGGAAGTATAGATGAAGAAACAAGAGAAAGAATTCATTTCTCAGTTGTTTGCAGTCCCGAAGAAGGACGGGGTGTGAGACAAATAATAAATCTGAAGAGTCTCAACACCTTTGTGAGGAAAGCTTCCTTCAAGATGGAAGGAATTCACACTCTCAAAGACCTGCTAAAGCAGGGCGACTGGATGACGAAAGTCGATCTAAAGGACGCTTACTTTGCGATCCCGATAACGCCGGAACACACATCTTACCTGAAATTTCAGTGGATGGGAAAGACGTACCGGTTCAACTGCCTACCTTTCGGTCTGTCGTCGGCTCCATGGGTCTTTACCAAGACCACGAAGCCAATAATGGTTTTTCTCAGGACACTCGGACTGAGAGTAATCATCTACATAGACGATATTTTGATTCTGGCAGAAAGCGAAGAGAAAGCTCGTCAACACACGATGTGCCTGATCTTTCTACTCGAAAACTTGGGTTTCACAGTAAACCAAACCAAATCCCAAGTGATTTCAACCCAGGAGACAGAATTCCTCGGGTTGACAGTGAACTCCGCAACGATGGAGCTGAAGTTACCCTCAGACAAGATCAAGAAGATCAAGTCCGAGGCGAAAAGTCTACTGCAAGCAGATGCCTTGACGGCGTTGGCAGTTTCCAGATTTCTGGGCAAACTGAACCATGCAGCCCAAGCAATCGCTGCGGCACCATTGTTTTACAGACACCTGCAGAGGTGTCTACAAGTGTCTCTCGAGGAGGGGAATCAAGAGTACTCACATCCTTCCCATCTGTCACCAGATGCCAGAGAGAAACTGACATGGTGGATGGATCACCTGTCTCACAAGAACGGGAAACAACTCCTGTTGGCGAAGCCGGACATGGTGATAGAGACAGATGCATCCACAATAGGCTGGGGAGCATCTTTCAATAATATTCGAACAGGCGGACCATGGTCCCCACAGGAACGACATATGCACATCAACTGCCTGGAATTACTGGCGGCATCCCTTGCGATCAAGAGCTATGCCAGGGATGCTACAGATGTTGTGATCCATCTAAAGATGGACAACACGACTGCCCTGACTTACATCAACAAACTGGGAGGAACCGTATCACCGGAACTCAACCGGTTGACGAAAGAGCTCTGGGTGTGGTGCTTTCAGAGGAATATCACTCTCAAAGCCTCTCATCTCGCGGGTTCGTTGAATGTGATTGCCGACGAGGAATCCCGAGTGATGAAAGACAGATCGGACTGGATGCTATGCCCGAAAATCTTTCAACGGATAAACTCGAGATTCGGCCCACTGGATGTGGACCTCTTTGCCTCTCGACTGTCCCATCAACTCCCACAGAATGTGAGTTGGAGACCCGACGCAGTAGCAATAGCCACAGATGCCTTCACAATGAACTGGAAAGTTTCGAACGGCTATGCCAACCCACCTTGGAACTTGATAGGCAAAGTCCTGCAACAAATCCAACAACAGAATGCAGAGATTGTGCTTGTGGCACTGGTATGGCCGAGCCAAGTGTGGTACCCAATGCTATTGGACATGCTGATCCAAGAGCCTTGCCTCATAACGAGCTCCAGAAGCCCGATCCAACCAACTCACCCAGTCAACGAGCCGGAGATAAACCCACCCCTAGCCGTGTGGAATATCTCAGGTCAAGATACTCAGCAGAGAACCTTTCGGGAGAGGCTTCAAAACTTCTCCTCGCATCTTGGAGACAGAAGTCTGCAAAAACTTATGATTCCCTCTTTAAGAAATGGGCATGCTGGTGTGTCGAAAGGGACATTGATCCCATTTCGGGAGATATAGCCGGCGTGGTTAACTTCTTGGCTTCTCTCTATCAGAATAAGTACCAGTATAGGTCCTTGTGTAATTATCGATCTGCAATATCATCAATCCACGACAAAGTTGATGGATACGAAGTGGGATCACACCCAATGGTAAGCAGACTACTGAAGGGCGTCTTCCATGAAAGACCACCCCAACCTAGGTACTCCTCAACGTGGGACGTATCAAAGGTCACAACATACCTGGTCTCACTAGGTCAGAACGAGCAAATGTCCCTCCAGGATATACCGTTTAAAATCACGATGCTGTTGGCCCTCACTAGGCCATCGAGATCGGTGGATCTTGTGAACCTTGATATAAGGTTCAGGCAGTTTAGCCCGGAGGGCGTAACATTTCACCCGACAAAACTGGCAAAGCAGTCCAGGCAGAACAAGAAGATTACAGAGTTCTTCTTCCCAGCATTTAAGGACAATGCACTATTGCGTCCTGTGCAAACATTGAAGGACTACGAAAGTAGGACCTTGGCGAATCGAGCTGATGACGAAAAGCAAGCTCAACTCCTGATTGCTACAATACAACCCTACAAAGCGGTGTCATCATCGACCGTAGCCAGATAGATTAAAACAGTTCTGGCGAAGGCCGGAATCGATACGGATATCTTCAAAGCGCACTCGGTGCGACGTGCTGCAACTTCAGCTGCAGCAGACGCTGGGGTCACAACGACCGATATCCTCTCTGCAGCAGATTGGAGCAGTGAGAGTATCTTCCAAAAGTTCTACTACAAGCCTCAGAAGAACAACACCTTCGGGAAGGCTGTCCTCTCTACCAAGCTGTCAACCACTGACAAGCTACAAAATCACGTTGATATGGAGACAGAGCATTCTGAAATATAATTACAGAATGGCTCAGACCACGCAGTGGTAGCCAGCTATTCTGGATTATATGAAGAATGGGATGTCGAACATGTCAACGTCCCTTCCCTCCCACCCGTCTACGTTGATATTGGGATAATGCACTTGTTAGAGGCTCGCTATCAAAGGCCGAAGAGCAAGTGTGGAACGGACAGTTTCGACAACAAAAAATGTGCGCTTTCCAAGATGCCAAAGGGCATGCGCACAAAATAAAACACAAAAATTCACATAAAACATGTAAAATACACTACAAACTAGCTGTCAAGTTAGAGAATTAGGCCAAACACGTTGATATGGAGACAGAGCATTCTGAAATATAATCCAGAATAGCTGGCGACCACTGCGTGGTCTGAGCCATTCTGTAATTTTTGAGCTACTCTTGGCTAGAGAAGGAGAAAAGAATGAACTTCCAATTACAAGGATAGCAACTCAATCTTACTTCGAAATAAGCGTTCAAAGAACATAGCCAATGTACTGTAAATGGCTCTTCTGTACGAAGACTGGGTTCGAATTATCCAACCGGCGCACTTTTCGTACTTCGAGTTATGCATTCGATTTTGACTTGAAGTGACTTGCAGAAGATCGATACGACGAAAAAGTTCGAATTACACGGAAGGTTCGAATTATACCGTATTCGAATTAGAGGGAGTCTACCTGTATACGGAACTGTAGATTCGTGTAGAAGTGGACTTTTAGCGGCATATCAGTATTTGACCCGGGTCAACTGTCTTCATGTAAACGCTCACCTATTTTGTCTATCGTACAGACTTTCAACCCGGGCTGAACTCGACCCGGGTTGAAATTTCTCATGTAAACACAGCCTAAAGTTGCATGCCGGCAAAGCAAGAATGGACCTTATGCCATTTGTACAGATCCATGAAATCCCTTAGACCCGGTAGGGTGTTGAATGTGCAGAACCCTATTTTGTTTTCTGCTATTTCCACTAAGAAATGGGGCCTGACGGCATTTCATACGAAAACCTTTTTTCTGACAAAGATCTAGGTAGTCATTAGTTCTAACAAAAGCGAAGAAGCTGGAAAAGCGATTGTGGTCATTAATTATGACGCCTAAGGGGTCGTCCGTATTTTTCGAAAAATTAAAAAATCGGTCCTCAGGCAAAAAGGGGGTGGGTGGTCAAGAGTGCTGGCAGAATTTAATTTTTTGATTTTTCGTACTTTTTTTGCTCCCGTGACTTTCATACACTTGTTGCACTGATACAAGTATATAGCTGACTGTGTACTGGACTGGAGACGTAGTGTAGGATCGATTGTCGCAAACACCAGTATCTACTATGATATACATGACTTTTCATGTAGTTGTAGGACGGTGCATGGCCGTGACGTCGGTAGACCTACTACTCACTGGACTTACATGTACCAAGAGTACATAACCCCCCAGAGTGTGCAACTCCACTATGCATGGGTGCTCTCCCGACAGAATTTCGAGTTGACATCATTTCGATGATGCAATGCGCACTGTACACGGATTATCAGACGAATCCGGAACCTGTGGTTGACCGAAGCCGATCGACCCTGTACAAATTATTGCAAAGAAAAACGTGTGATGCGTTGACACCCGTACACATGTTGTAAATCACTGGTGCAAGGAGCAATGCGTCATAAAGAATGACGTCAACTTGAAATTCTGTCGGGACAGCAGGGTATGTGGGAGTTGCACACTCTGGGGGGTTATGTACTCTTGGCAGTCTTGCATGTACATGTAGCTACTAGTACTTGACACAGGTGCAGTCAGAAAACATGGGGCCAGGAATTCTTATTTTCGAGCTGGACATCGGTAAAAATCAAAAAATTAATGGGAAAAAATGAGGGGTGGGTGGCCGTGGGTGGGTCAGAGGCAATTTTGCACGAGGACGGATTTTTTAATTTTTCGAAAATTACGGACGACCCCTAAAAAGGTCAAATGCGCATGCCTAGCACACAATGAACACCCTACGGGGTCTGCGGGATTTCGTGGATCTGTACAAATGGCATAAAGTCGATTACGATCTGCAATCTGTTTGTAGTACCAGCAAGAATGTGCTGTACATGTACCGTATTTCCTCTGTTGCTGTTTCAGTTGCGGTCATGTAATTATTATCATTATTATTATTACCGTAAAATCCCGCCAGAGCGCCCCGTCTCTCCCATCCGTCCCTCCTGACTTCTTGTCAGGGACGTGATTGATTGTATCCTCGCATGACTCTGTCGCAGTCTGTGATGCCGTACTGTACTCCAGACGCGTGCTCAACCCCGTTGGAAATAGTGCCCACCCTCTTGACCAGGGATCGCACAAACTCTGCGTTTTGTCGGGTCTGTACGACTCCTGGCTCTTGATGACCTTTGGTCGGTGTACGAGATGCACGAACAGTTTTCGTAGGGTGCGTACTTTTTCATGTAGCACTGAATGCGGCAAGTAGGACTCGCCCATCCGCCCTCCCCACCTGAAGCGTCGAGGAGATAGGGGCGCTCTGGCGGGATTTTACGGTATTATGAAATGACCCAAAGGCAATAAAGTTATTATTATTATTATTATTATGTTGCTAAAGAAAGGTTCAGCGACTCATTTGTTTCATACGAGATGAGTCAATGAGTCGGTCTGGCTTAGAATCTTTCGCTGTAGAAGAAATCTATTTGTATCTCCATTGGAGAAATATTTGTATTCAATGGATATAAAATAGGATTAAGACAAACTCACAGAACAAATACCATCACTGCATCAGTCCCTTGGTGTTCGTCTTAAAGAGGTTTGACTGGATATCATTCATACTCACCAAAAGATTTGTAACATTTTATTATTATGGAGTGCCTTGTTTATCTCTCAGTACCTCCAACCATAGCCTGACCCCTTATATCCTCAGGATCAGTGTAGTTGTTGGAACGAGGCGTCGCACTCAAAGTATTTGTTTACATTTTAATACATGTTTATTGTTCCTCGTTTGCTGTGTTGTTTTAGACATTCGTGGACTAACACTTTGAAGACATTAAACTACATGTACTTCCAAAAGTTGTATCGACATCAACAGGATTACGGTTTCCGTGCATTATGATGCAAGATGACCTTATCACGACAACCCATGACTACAAATATAAACACAGAATCAACAAAAACATGTGCGACACGCACCTGGTTACATTTCTCAAGTAAATCTGATCGAGGGTGTGGAAATCTGAAATATCGGAAAGGCAAGACAATTTTATGACAGTCATGAAATTCTGCAACATCCACAAAATGACCTGAGTATAAAAAACGTATCACCACCACTACCCACATGTTCCCCCTCAGCTCAGAAGAACATGATCATGCAAGTGCCATTTTCTGCAAGAAAAGGCTTGCACATCAATGCGTATACCGGTAGTACGGTATTGATATGATGGAGAGGCCATCATTTAGGGGCCGGTCACACTGAGGGAAATTTTGAAAATAATTCGTGGTTACCATGGATAGTTGCCGCTGAGCGGGAGATTTGGGAGATTTAATCCACTCGATGAAAATCAGCTCGAGGCCCCGCTTTTCCGCCGAAGATTATAATCATCCGCGGCTTCCACTGGATTTCTTTGAGTTTCCTTGTTTTTTTTATTGCGTTCTGAAGTGGAGCGATACTCTAGAGACTGTGCTGATGCAGCTCTGGCCCAGGAGCGGGGCTGAGAGACTGCCAGAAGCGAGTGGTGACAAAAACATTGCTCCCGTGAGTGAGATTATTTTCATTGTGCGTATGCAGTGTGGCCGTGATGAAAAGCAGAACAAATTATTCCCGGGTTATAATCTGAGGATTAGCTTAGGTCATTCCATTGCATGCTTTGTGACATAAAATCAAAAGAAATTATAGCAATAAAAACTGCTTTATGGCAGTTTTCTAAAAAACGTTATTGTGTTCTAGGGTGCGTTTGGTTGGTACGATCTAGAACAGGCTCGAACAGCTGGTGCACGTGGAGCAGCCTCATGCCAACCAAACGGTACTCCAGAAACAGAGCATATTTTTGTGAAAAATATGCCAAACTTGGCGCATTCTTCAAAATGTGTATGGGTCACCATGGTCACTGTGTACGGTACGACGAGTCCAACCCAAATGCGTATGCACGTGATCATTTGGGACCAAAATCGATGTTCCCG